GTTGGTGGCAGTGTTTAACAGTTTGAAACATCACCAAACTCTATCCCTGAATAAGAGTAATGACAAGGAAGTGATGATTTTCTTTCCGGTCGGAAATCTCCGGTCGGGCCGCAATGCATTATGGGATATGCTGGGCCGGGAAGGATTCATCAGAACTGTCCTTCAAATCGGGGAAAACGAAGGACGTATTTGTCGGACGCATCGGAGGAGTCTTCCGTTTTGGACGTCCTTCGTCGCGGCGCTATGACGTATGCGGCCGACAAATTCGACCTTCGGAGGACCCGTCCTGCCGTTTTGGACACAGCCACTAACGCCAGCTTATCTATGCTAGCCACTAGCCTCTCCAATTCTATCGCCAGCTTCTCTATGCTAGTCACTAGCCTCTCCGATGCTAACGCCAGCTTATCTATGCTAGTCGCTAGCCTCTCCAATTCTAACGCCAGCTTATCTATGCTAGTTGCTAGCCTCTCCAATACTAACTCAGTAAAGAGCTCTTGTTTAATTATGTTACCTGGATGCAGTTTTCTGACAGACGTTCCAGGACAGAAGTTATGGTGGTCCGCAGCTCTCCGGGGTCGGGCTCCTGCTGATCTGCTGATGAAACCTGAAAGGTGGATGAAGAAACTCTAACCTGAAGTGATTCTGTTGTTCTGTCATAAATATTTATTTCATGACAAACTCTTCTGTCCTTTTTTTTTTCTAACAAAATGTTTTTTATCACTTACTACCAACTGATAAAAAGAAAGGTCTGAATTTCTGCTAAAATTGTTTGACTCTTTTAAAGTGACACAAATACAAAAGAAAGGACTTTCAGTTCTTTAAAGGAATCTGAATTTACAGCCAACATGTTCGCTACAAGTAACAAAAAAAAAGAAAGAAAATAAAAACAGAAAAGTTTGAGGAATGTTGAAAATATTCTCCAACTAGAAGCACTCTGAGTGCAAACCTCAGCCAAGACCAATTTCCCCCCATCCTGTAATAGAGTTACAAAGGAGCACACCAACACTACAGTGCCACCTGCTGGACACTTTGAAACCCACGCCCTGTGAAAGCATCACAGCTTTGCCGATGTCAGAGTGTTAAAAGAAAAAAATTCTTGTATCCGCATCGTGATCCGGAACATCACCAAAATTTAAAGGTGTGTTCCTTGGCCCAGTACCCACATGTGGTAAAAATTTCATGACAATCCGTCCTCCAGTTTCTGAGTAATGTTGTCCACAGACAGAACGACAGACAGACATATGGACAGACGGACAGACGCGGCCGAAAAGATTACCTCGCCCTTGGTGGAGGTAATCAACAGATTATTACTGAGTCAGGACTGAGTGGATCTGTTCAAAAACTCTTTCTTTTTTAAATTAAAAGGAAGGTTTTAGGTTTTTTATGATCTCCAGCTCTTAATATTTATGAGAGGATTCTGAGAATTGAGGTAAACCTCTGTGACAACCACTGTTAGATGACCTTTGACCCCTGGGGTGACCTTCATGAGAACTTCTTGCGGTGATCAGGAGAAGTTGCTCCACACGAGAAACCTAACCTGACCTCTGGACCTGAGTGATTTCTGCTTCTGATGGGAGGACAAAAACTGAAAATTTGATGCTGTGATTTAAAAAACGAGAAACTAATCAGGCTGTTCTCAGCGAACTGTCTGAAAATCAGCCTCTGATGTGAATAAAACGTGCAGATGAGTGAAGGAACCACTGACTCAGAGACGTGTGACGAAAATATGGAGACTCGGAGCAGAGTACCAACAAGGTGATTCTGTTTTTCAAGAAGTTTGTGGGTCTTTAAGTCTCATTCTGTAGCTCTGAATGTTTTTGATGCTGCGTAAGTTTTTTAATGTTTTTTTTAAGTTTGAGAAGACAGAATCAGTTATTAAATGCACTATTTGTTTGCTATAAAATGGGTAAAATGTATTGAAATTTGGAGAATTAAAAAGAAGTTGTTTTAATGAGTTTGTAAACATCAAGATGTAAAATAAAACTAGGCAGAAAAACTTGTTTTTAATGTTTCTTTCAGAACTGATTCTTTTCCTGTAGTTCCAAGTCTAACCGGTAGATGTCGCTGTTCAGAAACGATCCACTTGTTCTTCAGCTGAAGCAGAGCTCCTCCGTCATCAGATGAGAAGGTGAACGTGTTTGGATTAAATGAAAAACATGATGGACATCTGCCCAAATGCTTTTAATTATTATTATTACAGACTCAATTAAAAAAACGCACCAAAGGGATTCGTTTAACTTTTAAACTGGTTGGACAAGAATGAGATATTTTCTGGATTTTTCTTGGCTTCAGCTTCAGTAGTTGTGACAGAGAAAGCAGCTGTTGTTCCCTGTATGTAAATGTTTCTGCTGCCTCCCCACATCAGGGTCTCTGAATGTCTCAGTGCGTCACCAGAACTGAAAACAAAAGTCTTTGTTAAAACCAAACACACGCAGATATTTACGCACAAAGAAAAAGAAAATTGCGCAGATTAAAAAAAAAAACATTTCAAAGATAAAGTTGATTTACCCATTGTTGTTTTTTTTATGAATGAGTGTTGTTTGGATGTTTATTCTTCTGATATTTCTGAAAAAATAGATCCTGTTTTCTCAGAAGCCCTGAATGTGACGCACGGGAACGGCTGTGGACGTCCAGCTCTGCGCAGTCGTGCCC